AAAATTAAACAGCTGCTGAAAAAGTAATTTTATTAAATCACTGACTATATCAAAGCAAAATGAGTTACAATAACAAAGAAAATGCCCTTGCTTTTGCTCAATTTCTTCCATCTATGGTCAAATTGGATGAACTTCAAAAAATGACCGAAGATTTGGATCAAGAACTTGCTGAATCGCAGAGAATTATGAAAGAAATTAAAGCTATGTTTGATAACGTATCGAAAACCAGTCCCACTAAACAATTCAATAACAACGGACAAGACAACATTTTAAAACATGAAGACATGTCTAAATTCCTTGAGGCTAATGCTCCAAAACTACTGATGTCCGATATGCCGGAAAACACTGTGGATGTAGATTTGGATGATGTTATAGCTACTATGAAAAGTTACGCTGAAGATTTGAAACAAAAATTTGTAACATCGCAGCCTCTACCAATGAGTAACCAGAGGGAATTTGAAAATTTGGAATTAAAACAATATGCAACAAGTTTTGACCAGCTAGCTAAACGTTTAGCTAATATCAAACTTAACAAAAAAGATGCCAACAACAGGAATGCAGATTTGGAATTAAAATTGATGCAATTATGTCAAGATGTCCACTTGTTCAATCAGGTATTGTAGAATAGATTTTCAATATCATGTACAGAAATAGTATTTACTAGCTCACCAGGCAGACGTTCTCTCAAGTTGGACTAAAATGCACACAGTGTGCAAAATTTCATTGAAATCAGTTTAGTAGTTTAGGAGTCCATCGCGGGCAAACAACATCATATGTAATTTTCATATATAAAGATATGTATTAATCACGTTTTGATTATTAGGAACTAGTTATTACATATATATGCCTAGGAGAACATAATGTGTCTTTATATATTTAGACATTTCAATGAAAATAATTAAGCGTTAAGTCTATCAAGTCAAATGACAATCTGCCATGCTGTAGCCCATTGACATCTATCCTTGATTAAGAATCAAAATGCAGATGCATTGTCACTCGGGAAAGACTTTCCATTGACGTCAGTCGAGTTTGGTGTTGATACGTATTTTTACAGAAAGATTACATTTTTATAAGCACACACAAAGTTTCAATATGCGGAAACACGTACTTATTGAGAAAAAAATATTGTAAATCAAATAATTTTGCAATATTTAGTCAATTCCTACCGTGAAACTGACACCATTTTTATTATTATTGTCAGTAGGGATGTTGATTCTTTCCGAAAAAGATCGATTTTTTAAATAGATTCGAATTGTAAGCTGATGTATCGATTCCCAAAAAATCGATTTCTAAAATAACTATATTTTTTTCATGTTTGCATTTATAATGTAAAAATAAATCCATTTTATGAGAAAAAAATCCCCTTCATCATAAAAAAATAAGGGGACTGATTCAGAAGGATTTCTGTATCTATTTTGAGACTGCTACGTCTCCGGCGCTATAAAACTACTCTAGGGGTAGAACAGACTCGTACCAGGTAGAGTCGGGGTCAATCAATTCGGTTCTTTGACATAAGTTGAACCTAACCTATTTTATTTGTGATCTGCCCTAATAGGTACTGTTTAATAAAACAAATTTCAATAAGAGATCATTTATCATGGTATCTTTCTTGTTTTTCATAAAATGGGTTTATATTTACATTATAAATAGAAACATTAAAAAAATATAGATATTTTAGAAATCGATTTTTTGTGAACCGATACATCAGCTCACGATTTGAATTGATTTAAAAATCGACCTTTTTTGGAAAGAATCGACATCCCTATTGATGTCGACAGTGACATTACAAAATGGCGCCAGTTTTATGGTAGGATTAGACATAAACATTGCAAGAATAATTGATTTTCAATAATTCTTTTCTCAAAAATTACGCGTTTCCGCATGTTGAAACTTTGTGTGTGTGCTTATAATAGTGTATCTTTTCTGTAAAAATATGTATCAACACCAAACTCGACTGACATCAATGGAAAGCTAAGCCGTCACCCGTGAGGAGTAAGATAGAATGCCCCATCTTGAGTAAAAAGAGACTTAAGTTCTATACACTCTCTATACAAAACATGGCATCATCAAGCTGTTATTTTATGCTAGTATTTTCAATCAACTTCATAAATGATTACTCACAGACCCCCGAAACAGATTTGGAAAATCCTATTTGTGTTTGAAAGGGTGGTTCCTAGGTGGTCCCATTTAAATTTTATCGAAATTGGTCAAGCGGTTTTAAAAAAATCCACAATAAATTATATTTATATTGAAGTCAGTTGAACAAAATTTTTAATTTTTACACTTGTGGGAGAGTGTGGTCCTACTCCTATAATATTGCTCTAACATGGTTCTACCACATGTTTTATGCTAGATTTTAATTATTGCAAAATACTGGTTGCACCTTATTGATTTCTTGTACCATTAACATTGTATTAATTCTCATTTTCATCCATACTTTAATAATTAACATCCGTTTTTTATATTTTTATACTGCTACCATTCTACTGTTGAACATAGGTCTCCCCCATAGATTGCCTTATTGGCAGGATATTTGCAATAGTTGCCACACCAGGTAGGCAGCTATCCCCTGAATTAATAAAAATAAAGAGTTGTTTTTAATATTTTACTGACTTTTCAGATGGTCCAAACAAAAACATCTATATGTGAAAGTAACAAAAACTGGACCAATAATCAGCTGGATAATGCTTTGTATTATGATAACATCATTAATAAATTACTGACTGGGATTAATGAAGTAACATATTTATTGAAGAGTAAAAATTAAAAGGTCGGAGGAATAGCAGTCAAGAGATAAATCGGAAAGGTTTTAGTTATGTTATCTGAAAAACCAAGCAAACGATACATAGCATAAGAGTTGGATTTTACTCATTTGTTATAAACCACAGGTGATGATGTGCAATTGAAGTTGCATATTGAGAGTAAAGTACCAACCAATAGCATTAAAATTTTACACAGTGTAATTTTTTGATGAAAAATACTTTTAACGAGATTTTTTAATTTTCTTGCCTATATTTACAACTATTTACCTATCTACTACGTGTTCATTTCATGAATGCCATTACCTCCCGCCCCGTTCCCTCATACCGCGCCTCAAGCGTCGCCCTTATAGTACCGATAGCAACGCTGAAATATATCTATGTCCATTGTTTGTGCTCCCATGTGATGTCTAGTTTCTTACTGTTTTTGGTGTTGTTTTTGTTACTGTTGATTTTTTGTTTCTACTGACTTTTTACGTTTTTTTTTTACGTTAATTTGTGATAAACAGAATGGAGTGATGACATTGATACAGAAACATATGATTTCGATAAAATATTTGGTATCAAAGTTATGGATGCGTAAATATCTATCTACCTACCAGTTTTTGATTGCGCCTTCTCAAATAATTCATTTTGAAAATGTATAATAAAAAAAAATATTTTATCGGACACATTTCTATTTAGTGTTATTATTTTACTTTACTAACTACATAAATTATTCAATAATATGCATTTTATCAACTTGCTTATCTTCCATTTATCTGTACAGGGCAAGAAACTAAAAATGAAACTTCTTACAATTAAACACTTACAGTAATAGTTTTTTCTATGGTACTGTCAACTGTGACATCATAACGGTCGACGACGGCAAACTTGAAATGAACACATAGTACAGCATACTAGAGATGCGCGCAAAACAGTGCGTTTTAAAGTGATGTAATATGACATTACATTTTGTACCGAGGAATGTTATGTTATACCATGACTCCAAACATGACGCGAAATGACACTACACAGGATAGCTACTGTAATGAAATGCTTGTGTTGTAGAAGATATGTTTGCGTTGTGATGTGACAATTGCCAAACGCAATGCCCTCGCTACTACGGAATGAACACTCGATTTTATTATCATATTCATAAAGTCGATTTTTCTTCACATTTTATCCCAATTTACTGAACTATTCAATCAAAATGGTAAAAAAGTTTCTGGATTCTGTAATCACTCACCGTACGAAACAACAGCATTAAGCTCCTATTTTATGCCGGTATTCTGCGAGAGTGTGGTAATACCCCAGTTAAGCCGACCCATTTGTGCTGCAATCATAATATAGCTGCAATGTGGCTCTACCACATATCGACATTCCTTATTGAACTATAATTAAAATTTCATTTTGGAATATATTATGTTGTATATTATCAACATTAAAGCCCTAACTGTTAAACATATAGAAATATAAATAGTTATAGTTGGTATTTCTCGATTTTATTATCAATAATGAGATGAAAAAAGAAGATAATTAATTACTACTTTATTTTATAGTAAAGTGTAACCTAAATACCCCACTATGGACACATGTCCACTAAAGGTGAACAATTTACATTTAGTCTATATTTATGATCTCATTTTATGATATGTGTATCACTTACTGTTAGTGCTTATTAATATAACTTGCTTATTTTATACATAAGTGTGTAATTGTATGGCATTTGAATAATAAAACGGATGTACTAAATTATATTTTTATTTTTATTTTTCAAAATTTGACTTACAGTGTTAAGGTTATGTGTCTCAAATCAATCAATGAAATCAGTCAACCATGTTATTGGTTTAAAATTTAGTTTTTAATAGAATAGTTATTTCATTTCTTATTTAGTTTTTTGTTATGAACAAAATATTTTTTTAAATAAAATAAAATGAACTTTAATTAAATAATTTAAAGATTTAGAAAAATATATCTTAAAATTTTATTATTCTGTCTGTATTATGTAAATTTCTATTATGCTGTCTGTACTTTGAGACTAGTCTCTGATGCCTGGTTCTTATATTCAAGAAACAATTCATTCTCAATTATGATCTATTTTATATGATTTATAATAATTTGGTAATTAAGGGCAACATAAAATCAAACCCCTTTCAAGGTGGTCAATGGTTTTCCAAGCATTTTGCATGAAAATGTAATAAGGGACAAATCAAAACTTTTTTTTAAATATAAGAACTAGGCATAACTAAACATCCTTGTCTAAGATAAGTCTGAACTGTCTATAAGTCTCATTCTTTTTCTATCAATATCATTGTCAGTATTATCACTCTGTCCTTCGTCTGTATTTGGTTTAGGTTCCTCTTCACTTCTAGTAGGCCTTTCATCCGCCTCCAGAACTTTCAATTTAACTCCACAAACCACAGCCCCGTTTAAAGTTTTAATAGCTTCCTGTGCTGCTTTAATAGATGCATATTTTGCAAAACCAAATATTTTATTTGGAAAAGTGGATACGTGTATTAGATCCCCGAACCTACTGAATACATCCCTTAATACAGAGCTAGATGGAGGCTGAGGCTTACATACTATAAAACATCTTTGAGCCACTTTACTGTTGATGTTAGCCAAAGGTTGAGGGGGAGGAAGTTGAATGTTGCAATAGTTTACATCTTGTTCATGTGACTCTGACCTCTCAGGTCTGCAGGTTGTGGCTACTTTGATTAAAGTGGATGCCTGTGCTATTGCATCTGCTAATTGAGTCAAATCAGGAGTTCCAGCATCAATAGCATTTTTAAAATTATTTACAATGTTACTCAACTCTGTAGCTGCCGAAGTTAAAGGATTGTTTTCTGGTCTGACAGTTAATATTTCTCCAGAGGGAAATTCATAATTGTTCAGCCTTTCTACAGCAAATGCTGCTGCTCTTTCATCATCATAGCTGATGAGGGCTTTGGAAACACCATTAGGTATGTCTAGGGAATACTGACATTTTTTCATGCCTGGAATAATGTTAAACAATTGCTCAATATGTTTTTGTGGTATTTGAGGATAACATTTCACATTGATTGTGTTAAAATGTTGAGGTTTTGATGGAATAAGTGCAATCATACTTTCACTCTTAATATTATCTCTGGGCACATAGTAGCGCTCCAAATAGTTATCCCTACCAGAAATGCTAGAATTGCTTGAATGAAAGTTATCCATTTCTAAACTGTTTCTGCTTCTTTTTAATTCATCCTTTGGAGTTGCAAACATTGGCTTATACTTTCTATCACATTCTTCATAAGCCTTTGCTGCATCATAAAAAAATTTGAAATGAACATATGCAAACCCTTTACAAGTATTAGTCAAATTGTCTTTTTGCAATTGTACATAATCTATGTCTCCGAATTGTGAAAAATGGTTCATTACTTCACTTTCTGTTGCATCTTTGTTAACTTTAATAAATAGCCTCTTAAATCTTTCCTCATTGCTATTATTACCATCATTTCTGTTAGCAGCAACCATAACTCTAAGTGGTTTATTCTCATTTCTTAAAGTTTTCAAATGCATTCCTTGAATAGCAGCAGCTGCAGAAGAGGTTTTATTATATTTAATGTATGCAACACCTTTAGTCTCGCCAGTATTACGATCCCTCGGTATGTATATGTCCTGAATAGTACCATACTGTTCAAAAGGGATTCTTAGGTCTTCCTCTCTTGTTTGTTTAGTACACACAACAAAAATTCTCGAATGTGGGGGTTTCTCTTCTCTGCGGTCATCATTGCGCATACTTCGATTTGAGTAACTCATTTCAGTCCAACTTATAACGGTTAATAATGGTGTGTCGAGTCAACAGTCAAGTGGTCACTGGTCACTTACGCAAAGTATTAAATTATGCAGTGATGTCGACAGTTGAGTGTTGAATGTCGTGGTCAGTATCCTTCATGTCCAATCCCGTCTTAAAACAGTTATTGTTAACAATATACGTTTACTTTCATCTCGCATCTGCAATCTGAACAATATAATATAGCATTTGTTAATGACATTAACAAGCCTTTTTATATCATCAACTAAAATCATAATGTTGCCAGTACTAAAAAGAATACCAGAGTTATACTAAAACTAACTCCCGCCCTCGGATTCGCCCGCGTGGAGTTCAGTCTGCTATCATTTAGGCCGGCCGCATACATACGGAATTCCGTTTCGAGATTCCGTTTCGATATTCCGTTTCGATATTCCGATTCGGGATTCCGAACGCAGCAAGTCCATATAAAATCTATGACCCGCCACACACGTACGTTATTTTTACGTACGGAATTTCTCCGATTCGAGATTCCGTATGACTGTCTGTGCGTTCGGGATCCCGAACGGAAAAAAGCCGCTTCGAACGCACGTCTTCCATAGATTTTGTACGAGTCGCAACACACATACGTAAATTCCGTACGGAATGCGCTCAGTGTTCGTCGCACGACCGAAGCGAGTAGGTGTATTTATGTATGTTTTTAAATTTTTTTTTTGGAGTTTATGGCCTGGTATCTAGACCTTTAGGCCAAGTCTTAAGTATTTTTATTCGGTTTATTGTAATTTCCCCACTCCTTCATAGTATACTGCTTCACAATATGTTGATGCGTCACATTGTGCAGTTCTTGGGAGATTTTGGCGGCAACTTGATCCAGCAGACAGCTGATAGTTGGCGATGGTATCTAAAGGTGCCTATGCAAACAAACAGCTTATCTTGAGAATCCATCACCATCAGAGCACTTGTTTCACTGTTTCCACTAATAGTTCACATGCGTAGACACTTAATACACAAAATCGCAACACTTTTACATATCAAAGTCCACTTCAAACCATTATTTAAACAATAATACAGGAGCAGCAAACCGCCGCCGGTCAATTTCCCGCCAAAAACCCCGTTTTTAAATTTAATCTTGTAGGTGTATAGATTATATTCCTCGATAGAATTTACATATATAAATATTTAAAAAATATTTCTGGATAGATAGATCTTTTTCCGAAACGGAATCACGAAACGGAATTCCGTATGTATGTGGCGGGCCTTAAAGTCACGCGACGCTAGCACCATCTAGTGTTAAACGACGCCATGCGTGTAAACACGTCTTGATAAACCTCACCGTATGATAAATTTCATCACGGTAAAAAGTAGCATAATATGTCACTCTAGCCTATAAACAATCCTCACACAAAAAATATCACCAATCCTTTTGCCCGTAGATCGTGAAAGAAGGACAAACAAATAAACAAACAAACTCGTTAAAATTTTATTTATTAACATACTATACATTACAATTTTATTTACACATATTAATAAATAAAAAAAACTGTCCATTACCGAGTATATTAAACGGTTTTTTTTAATATGTCTTTCGGTGGGTAAAATGAGACACAATTTTTATTAAGACCTTGTTTTACATGTAAAAGGCTCGCAATATGTTTCGATAACCTGTTTCTATATTTTGTTTTAACAATATTAACTTTTGTAAAGTTATTAAGCGGGTATAAACCACGATTTGTGGGGAATTCCCGTAAATTATTTGTGTAACTGTTCGAAAGAGACAAAATAATACAGCTGTGGTAAAGATCTGGCAAAGACAACACTATACTCATGGAAATATATGTACTTCATAACTATACTCAAAAAAATCTAAGAAATACATTTTGACGTTTCACAAGAATCATTCCGTAATAACGTAGTACAAACGTACTCACACGATTTAAAATAATCTATTACATAAATCCATGTACACATAATACGTCATGTATAGTTCTTTATCACTAATTTAAGTTCGAATCTTTCACAAAAGTAAAATACATATAAAAAAAATTACCAGAGTCATTTTTTTTGCCTGACGTTCTTTCAATGATATGTCGGTATGTACCTTACAGGAGTGTTTGAATGATTAAAATTCATTGTTATGCGAATAATCGGTAAAAATATTCAATTAATCGAATCTTTAATTTTTTAAATTTATTTTTGTATAATTAAATTTTTGTAATAAAAATTCCTTACATAAATAAATCTTGAATAAAACAAGTTCTTTTCTATTTAATTTCCTACTTTGTCAGCGTAAAACAGCGCAAGAAACTCATATCCAAAGTCACGCTGAAAACAATCTACGTAATTACATTCTCCCGACATTTCGGGAGCTTACTGCGCGTACTTTTGTGATTTGTGTTTGTCTTCCTATTTTGTAACTTGGTTATAACTTGTTGGACTGTTTCTTCTATATTCGTTGACCTTGCCAAGTTATATACTGGACTCTGGACTAAGCATGTAATGTCGAAAAGAGGACGTAGTTGTTGTAGTCCTACTTTAAACAGTCAGAAATTGCACGGATATTTTGAAAGTGACTCACAAAACGGTGGGCCCCTTTTACCAGTGAGACAAGTGCTGGATCGTGTCAGTGAAGTACTCGGAATTGATAAACGCACCGTTGTCGAAATAGTCACTGAAAAGTAAGGGCTTTCAGGCAGTGAGAAAAATTTTCTTTTTACGTGAAAAAATTAAAAAAGAACAAACCAGTGAGAGGAATCGATCAATTCGACGCAGATGCTATTAGAAAACACGTCGTGAATATTCTACTGCGGCGATGTTACAAGAAAGTTTAGTAGATGCCGGCTTGTACAATGGTAGTGTAGAGTCATTGATAACCATTTTAAAACGTATGGGCGTCCGACACAAAAAAAAAATTAAACCAAAACAATTATGAAGAGGCATGATATAATGTTACAAATAATAACATTTTTAAGAGAAAATAAAAATATAACCAATTGGGACAACGTCATATTCGTTGATGAAATGTGGTTAAACGTCAAACACACTGTATCGCAAATATGGACAGATGACACTACAGCATCTTGCTCGAAGGTGCACATGGGAAAAGTTGAGCGCCTCATAATCTTGCCATGCGAGATCCGCCGGAGAATGATTTGTAGAAAATTGTATAACAAACTTATTGGAAGTTACACAAAAGTACAGTACAAGTACACAAGTACAAAGAGTACAAGGGAATACCATGAAGAAATAGATGCAGAAAAATTGAAAGAGTGGTTTATAACCCTTTAACAAAATATTCCTACGAACTGTAAAATAATAATGGGCAACGCCCCGTACCACTCTGTTCAAATCGACGAAGTGCTAACCCAAGCTAATAGGAAAGCAGATTTATTAGCATGGCTGCAACACAAAGGAGTGAAAGCGGACATGAAATTATTGAAAGCTGAGCGAGTCTCATCCGACACTATTTCGAAGATATCCCGGACGTCAGTCTGAGCGAGATTAGAATGGCTCTCCAGCACCTTAAAAACGGTAAGGCCCCAGGCGAGGATGGAATTACAGCGGAGCTTCTGAAAGCGGGTGGAAGACCGGTACTTGAAGTCCTTCAGAAGCTCTTTAATTCCGTCCTCCATGGTGGCATTACACCGGAGGCGTGGAGCAGAAGTGCGGTGGTCTTGTTCTTCAAGAAAGGTGACAACGCTCTCTTGAAGAACTACAGACCGATTTCCCTTCTGAGCCGCGTCTACGTGCTGTTTTCGAGAGTCATTACAAATCGTCTCGCGCGCAGACTTGACGACTTCCAGCCTCCCGAACAAGCCGGTTTCCGAAAGGGCTTTAGCACCATAGACCACATACATACCTACTATGTCTGGCGTATGTGGACTATGAGAAAGCCTTTGATTCCGTCGAAATTTGGGCAGTGCTACAGTCCCTTCAGCGGTGCCAAGTTGACTGTCGGTATATCGAAGTGTTGAATTGTTTGTACAGTAGGGCTACGATGGCTATCCGAGTACAGAACCAGAGTACGAAACCTATCCAATTGCAGAGAGGTGTAAGACAGGGTGACGTCATATCCCCGAAACTCTTCACCGCTGCATTGGAAGACGTTTTCAAGCTTCTGGACTGGAAAGGGTACGGTATCAACATCAATGGCGAGTACATCACTCACCTTCGATTTGCCGACGATATAGTCCTTATGGCAGAATCGCTGGAGGACCTAAGCACTATGCTCAATGACCTCGATAGTGTTTCCCAACGGATAGGTCTTAAGATGAACATGGACAAAACAAAGATCATGTTCGATGTCCATGTCACACCTATGCCGGTAGTTGTTGGGAGCACTAAGCTCGAAGTTGTTGACGAGTATGTTTACCTGGGACAAATTGTCCGACTAGGTAAGTCCAACTTCGACCGAGAGGTCAATCGACGGATTCAACTCGGCTGGGCAGCGTTCGGGAAGCTACGACACATCTTCTCGTCAGACATACCTCAAAACCTGAAAACGAAATTGTACAACCAGTGCGTGTTGCCAGTGATGACTTATGGAACTGAGACATGGTCCTTCACTGCTGGCCGTATGAGGAAGCTCAAGGTCGCTCAGCGAGCTATGGAGAGGGCTATGCTCGGAGTTTCTCTGCGTGATAAACTTAGGAATGAGGATATCCGCAGTAGAACCAGAGTAACCGATATAGCCCAACGGATTAGTAAGCTGAAGTGGCAGTGGGCCGGCCATATAGCTCGAAGAACCGACAACCGATGGGGAAGAAAGGTTCTCGAGTGGCAGCCTCGTACTGGTAGGCGAAGTGTAGGGCGTCCCCCCACGAGATGGAGTGACGACCTGGTAAGACATGCAGGAAGTCGATGGATGCAGGTGGCTCAGGACCGTGCTTTGTGGCATTCTTTGGGGGAGGCCTATGTTCAGCAGTGGACTTGTAAAGGGCTGTAATGATGATGAAATGATGAATGATGAGCTAATATAATTAGGAAAGCGAAATAAAACACGTTAACGTTT